ATCCCAATATAACCCCAATATTCCGGATTGAGGGTTCAGGCTTCAAGTCTGGCGGGTGGCATCGTCCCCTTCGTCGCAAAAGCTGGGATGCCTCCAGGGTACGCTTTTGAGCTCTTAGGGGCGTATAAGGGTGTATGGAGGCATATATCCAATAAGTGGAAGTATGTATTACGACGGGCGTCGTTGAGCTTTTGTGACAAATTCACAAGGCAACACAAGCGGTCTTGGTCTCAATGTTTCATAATGTATAGTAGTGGTCACGCTGCATCACCAATCGCAGCATAGAAAGAGAGCCGTGAGGCCCGTTCATTGAACTCGCTCAATGAATATGTCAAAACAGGTCTCAACGAAAAGAAACACCTTCCCAGACCCCCAAAAGGATCNNGGGGAATTATATAAGGATTATATGGGGGTTATAGTGGGTCTATATAGGGGATCTAATTTTTAGATCCTCCCAGGGGTCTGGGTTGTGAACTAGAATGCTGCATAGCAGGATGAGAGCCACATGCCTTCCTTGAACCCTAAGCCCTGAGATGCAGATTGCAGTCCTGCTAAGAAGTCTCACACCACAGTGCAGAATGGTCTTAAGTGTCTCACGCTATCTTGAGGCATTCCGAAAACATCGTACAGCTCGACTCCTTTTGCATGTTTGCCGTGCAGATAGGCTGAAAAAATCTGACAGTAGACCTTAGAGCACGATTAGTAGCAAGAGAGATGCAGAAACGATCTGGTAGCAGCACATCGCACAGGCCACAGAATGGCGGGATTCATGAAAATTGTTCCTATGCAGCGGAGATTGGCAGTGCATTCAAAGGCCCGATTTCAGACTTCCGTAAGTTCCTCGACCCCACATGAGCTCTAGTCTAAACTCCTAGTATCCCCATTAATAAGCCCTATAGTAGTCCCCTATATAGTCCCTTATATAGCCTCCTTTAAGGAGTTTAGACTATAGCTCACATGGGTTGGGTTTTGCGGAAGACCCGTTTTGCAACAAGCATCTTGCAAAATCTGGCACCCGCAACCGAAGCTGCAAGTTCTAAACCCGCTTTGACGCCCAAACCTAAAACCTATACCTGGTGGCTTTCCCAAACCAGGGGACCTCAATGTAGACCCCAAATTACTACAGTCCTTAGTTATAGGGAGCCCCAAAGACGTACCCCCAATTTTGGGAAACCCCCACTTCAGACCACAGGCCAAACCCTTGTGAGATCCCAAACCCTGGACCATAAGCCCTCATTCTCCCAGGGGCTAGCCGCAAGGGAAACACTACCTCCTCGAGTGGGAGTGGCAGTGCCTTGCTTTGTCAGACAAAGGGCTTAGGGTAGGGTTTAGGGGTTTAGGGTTTAGGGATTGGGGCCATTCAGAATTTCTCAAAACGGGACTATGCGTAGGGACCCCAGGGATATAAGAGGACTACAGAAACCAAGCTCTCATTTTGGAGACTCCATACTGAGTATTACAGTTTAGGGCCAATTTTGGGTACTCCTATTGCGGGCCCGTATGATGATTGCCAGGAGATCACAATTTTGGGGATGATGAACGGACTGTTTGTAGAAAATCCCAGGTTACGATCGCCCCAAACTTACTTCCCAGTGTTCAGGTCAGCTCATTAGGATTAGCATGGTGAATGTGACAGTAGAGTTGGGTACTGCCCCCACCCAGTAACAGTCTGTATTAGGGGTCCTATTAAGGGCTATATATAACCATATTAAGATTACTATCCAACTGTTACTGGGTGGGGGCAGTATCCAACCCTAGAGCGACAACCGATGTGAGGAGTCTGTGCCAGCAAGGCCTTCTTCTTGCTTACGCGGCCCTCATCA